GTTATAAACGAGTTTTTTTTTTTGATAAACTGGAACTACAAACGTAAGGCTATATTACAGTATGGCGTCCGATAATGGCATTAATAGTATCCCTGCTCATGATTTGCAAACCCATGGCTCCATTGAGTGCTATTTTGGCGAGAGAGTCCGCTGTTACGTTATCAACTCTGCTTATCACTTGGAAACCCAGTTCCCAGTTCCATTTCATCATTTCCTGAACCTCGTGGATGCTTTGCCCGTCCTCATGAAGGAGGTGATCTCCTCTTAGAAAAGTTTCAATAACTTCGGATGAATCACAGCTCAAGACTACTTTCAGAAATCCCAAGTCCCAAGCACGTTTCATTCCCATCAAGCAAGCCCAGATTTCTGCCGTAACATGGTCCCCTTGATCAAGCTTCAGCGTGAAACCTTCACAGATTTCTACATCAGCTCTCTTGATAATGCCACCACACGCTGCTCTGCCGGTATGAGCCGAGAATGCTCCATCGACCTCCACTACGCAAGCGTCTTTAGGGATGCCATCAGTGAGTTTAGTTGAGTTTTGCTGTGGGGCATTCATTCTAACCCCTTGAAGTTTGTTGGCTGAGTTTCTCATGCACTTCAAGATCGCAGCAGCTCTTTTTGGAACAGAGTTGAGGTCAGCATTATTTTTCGAATGCGTTAGTTCATTTCTTGCTTTCCATATCAGCCAACATATAACAATAAATAAGTCTTTCCAGTCCTCATCCATTTTCCCAGCGTTGTTCCTCATGTTGAACTGGATCCATTCTTGCAGGTCGCAAGAGAAGAAAAGAGGTATGTGTTGGGGCTTGAGAATAGTTGCCCAGACTTTAGAAACGACTGGGCAGTCCCTAAGTACATGTATCTCTACTTCTATATTGGCATGGCATCTGTCACATAACCCGGTTTCGTGAAGTCCTCTCCTAAATTTGCGTTTGTTGGTAAGGATGCGTTCATGGTATAGCAGCCAAGCAAATGACTTGCACCATTGGGGGACTTTTAACTTCCAGATTTTATTCCAGTTTGCAGTCGGCTCTTCACGCTGTGGGTTGAGTGTTTTGTAGGTAGGTCTCGTAGTAAAGGATCCACTCTTCTCCCATTTCCATCTCGCCACTTCATTGCCTAGGGTGTCCTTAGTTACTTGAATACTCTCCATGACGTGCTTCCAGTTATTTTTTATGCCCTTCCAAGTATTCGATCCAGGCTTCTTGATGTTAATCTGGGGTATGAGATCATTGCCACACCCATATTTGCTTCTAATAACTCTTGTCCAGAGGGAGTCTCTTTTAGTAACAAGACCCCATCCTAATTTCATCATGAAGGCTCTATTTTGCTGCTTTATGTGTCTCATGCCTAATCCTCCATTTTGTTTTTCGGTGCAAACTTGATCCCAGGAGACTAGATGCATTCTTTGTTTCCCTTCAGAAGAGCCCCACAGGAAGTCACGTGCCTTTTTCTCTATCTATTGCAAGTGTCATCCGGTAAATAAGCTGTCTGCATAGCATGGTTGGGCATTGCACTAATGACAGACTTCACAAGGGTGTCGTGCCCGACGAAGGAGAGGTGTTGATCTTCCAATTGCTGAGACAGCTATTGACTTTGTCAATGATGAAGTTATAAGTATCCTTAGACACTCGATCATGGTGGAGGGGGGACTCCCAAGTATTTCCCAAGGTTTGCTGTGGTTGAACCCAAGCTTCGTGCTGAGTTGAGAAGCTCGGTTATGGTTGACATTTTGGGAGAAGAAGATCTTGGTTTTATCATGGTTAACTTTCTGCCCCGAGGCCTCACAAAATTGAGTTAAGCAACTTCTAATCACGTCTACTTGTTCTAAACTAGCCTCTGCAAAGATCAACAAATCGTCAGCAAAAAATAAATGAGAGATGGGGGGCCAGTCTTACCTAGTTTAACGGGCTTCCAATTTCCTACATACATTTCGTTCTGAATGATATGGGCAAGCTTCTCCATGCAAATTACGAACAAGTAGGGAGAGAGCGGGTCTCCTTGCCTAAGGCCTCTGGAGGGCCTGAACTTGTCAGCTTTGTCTCCTTCCCAGAGGATTTGCATTGAAGGAGAGGAAATGCATGCAGATATAACCTTGATGATGGTCTCCGGCATTCCTAGTTCCACCAGACATTTCGTAACAAAGCTCCACTTGATGCGATCATAGGCTTTCTCTAGATCAATCTTGATGGCCATGTACCCTTTCTTTCCTTCATATTGCGCATTGAATGGATAACCTCTTGGGCAACAATAATATTATCTGAACTTGTGCGTCCGGGGACAAAGCTGCATTGGTTAGGAGAGATAATATTTGGAAGAAAGCTCTTCATCCTGTTCACCACAACTTTAGAGATAATTTTATAAATGACATTACATAGGCTTATAGGTCGAAAGTCTCTAATCGTTTCAAGATGGTCCTTCTTAGGAATAAGAACAATAAAGGTGTGATTTATAGAATCAATCAGAGAAGTATCCATAAAAGCTTGTTTGACCAACCTGTTGACCGAAATCCCAACTATTTCCCATTGGCTTTGATAGAAGAGAGCATTAAGGCCATCGGGGCCTGGGGACTTAAGAGCCCCCATAGCAAAGAGGGCAGATTTAATTTCTTCATTGCAAACATCTTTTCTAAGATTCTCAATTTGGACATTATTAAGAGTAGTTATAAACGAGTTAAAAGTTTAGAAGCTGAGTTGTATCGAGTGATAATTGAAAGATTGAATTATAAGTGAGTTACTACCTCCGGTCCTAATTATAAGGCTTCGTTTGTAGACTACAAATGAGGTTTTATAATTAGGATAGAAGATAGTAAAATTTAGAGGACAAAAATTAATTTTTCCTTTATTTTCTAAATGTTAAACTTTCTCCTTTTTTCTTAACCTGAATAAATGTAAAACTTTCATTACTTTATATTTGTTAATTATTGTTTTATAAAAAAATATAATTCAACTATATGTAGATATACTTTAAAGAGATTATATCAATTTTTTAAAAATTAAGCAGCTTATTTATTTTTAAAAATTCTTTGAAATTAATTAAGTGGTTCTTACACTAATAACCATAAGAGGAGCAATGCTTCTAGAAAACTGAAAACGGAAAATGACAACGCCCCGTTCGTCAAATTGAATTTTGAAGATTTCCAAACCTGATTAATTTTCTCCGTTGGAAGAATGAGAGGAAAAAACAGAACAAGACAAAACCCAACCACCACTTTCGCCCTCTCCCCTTTCTCTGCGTCTTTTGTTTTGATTTGGCTCTCTCTTAATTGCTGTTTGACTATTAATTTAATTTTTAAAAATATCATAAATGTCTTTTAAAAAAATGATCCAACACGGTTCAATGTTTTAGAAGGAATTAAGGATTAATTATTATAAGACATTCGTTGAAAATGGAATCTTGGCATATACTGATTTAATTTAATATTTTAAACATAGATTCCTCATGAGTTGCATGGGTTTTTTGGACCCCCCAAAAAAAAATCAAAATCGAGTTCTTGCCATAATTCATGCTAACACCTTTTATAGGCATGTTGGTCATAACCCTTTTATAACTTATTTGTAATATTTTTAACTGGCCTCTTGTTAGAAGCACTGAGATTTACTTATTATAAGAGAAAATTAATTAAATTATGTTGGTCAAAAGTAATTGAAAACAATAAATGTATAAAAAAATGTAATCTTTTTACCAAAAATACTCTCATAGATAAGGAAAAAAAAGATAATGTGCGATTGTGGGAAAGAGAAAATATGTGAGAATTAAATGTAATGATATGAGTAATATGAGTAATTAAACAGAGTCAAATAGAAAATCAACTAGCAAAATTTGAGACAACTTCTAAGTGTCTTTTATTAAAAAAAAAAAAAAGAACATGACATGTTTCGCAATTGTCTCTTATACTATTTTAGGTCTTTAATATAAGAGCTAATTTGATATTTAATTTGATTTTAAATATAAAATCCTAATTCACTTTGTCTCTCATATTTATCTATTTTTTGAAAGTAAGCTTTGTAGTAATTACACATGTTAAATATTCTATCAACTAGAAGTTCCATGTAATACATGTGATTAGTAAGAGTATTTTAAGAAAGACAATATCTATTTATTATAGATAATTAATTTTAAAAACTTTTTTAATATACTCAAATTACTTAACTAGCTTTTATATTAAGGTTCAGAGTTAGTAATAAAAAATAGAGGGAGTAGCTCCTAAGCCTTAAGTTTGGATTTTAAATAAATAACATTTCTTTCCAAAACGAGAAGATTTCATTACTATAATAATCAGTAATTCTTTTCTTATATATATAGTGTCTGGCATCTAATATTATCACGTTTAACTTGAGCATTATTATTAGATCTAAACAAAAATAAGCACCCTCCCAAAGATATTTTTATTTCACTTCAAGTTTCACGACAAAAATGATACTTTATATCTCTGAGAAAAAATATTTAACAGTTAAAACTTAAAAGTTAATTCGAACTTATTAGTTCTCATAATTATTAACTGAGTTTTCTTGACTTCCAACTGAGCTTCTCAAGTCATTTTCTTTGCTCTCATTATTCATCCTAGTGCTGTCTTCCCTGGATTTTTAACTATAGAAAGAATAAATTAACATATAAATATAATTAAATAATCACTTTATTAATTAATTTAAATTATTTTGGGGGTCTCCAATTCGGGGGCACCGACTTTTCTCGCGCAAGTGGTGGGAGAATCCGCGTTCAACGGAATTAGAGCAGCGCCCGCGAAATCAGAAAAGTAAAGTACGTGCACGGCTTCTACTCTCTCCCTGCCTCCTACTTTGATCTCTCCTTATATTCTTCTCCGATCGTATTATACAGCGTAAGCGCGATTCCTTTTTGTTTATTCTCTTCTCCCACTTCAGAGTCTCTCTCGATTCAAACCAGATTTCAAAGATCTTTCTTCAATTTAATTAATGGCTTCCATTAATTTGACCGCCACGCTTCCTCTTACTCGCTTTTCTGTCGCTTCTTCCTTTTCATTCACCAACTCCACCAATGCCATTCTGGGCATTCCCAGCTCGCGTCTTCCCTCCTTAAACGACGACGTTTCCCCATGGCTCTCGGGTCATCTGGCCCCCGCATCAATTCTGTTCCAGTACGGATCAATACCTTACCTGTCGTTGTTATCTCTCTCTCTCTCTCTGTCCTTTGTTTTTTTTTTTTCCTTTTTCTGTGCATGCATGTTCTGGTTTTTTAATGTAGGTTTTAAATTTTCAGCGTAGGAATGGAACATACAGAGTGGCTGATTTCATGACGAAGAAGGAAAACTTGCACGTTGTGAAAATCACCACCACTGTTGAGGAAGGTTGGTACTACTACGAATTGATAAGGATGGCTCTCCCTGTGTTGTGTGGTTCTTCCCTTTTCCTTAGTGATCATGTGCTTTTTATTTTTGTTACAGCGTTGGAGGCTCTCGTTAATAACAGGATCAGTGGTCTTCCCGTAATCGATGATGAATGGAATTTGGTAATTTTTAAATTGATTTGACCTTGTTAACAGTAATAACGAGAACAAGTCAACAAGCATTTGTACTATCCTACTAAATGTGGTAAATTATGAATATACTGCGTGGCTTATGGCTTCTTATGAACGGACAGTATCAACCTTCCTTTCTTTCTTTCTTTTTGCCAGATCAAGCTTTCTTTTTCTCATTATTTAATTTTAATGCCTTCTCCCTCTTTTAAATTCTTTTTTTTTTTTTTATCAACTTCGTTTCCTGAAGATCACTTGGGTGAACAGGCTACCTGTCTCCTTTGAGGCGCAGGTTAAGAATAAAAAATATGATCAAATTGTTAAGAAGGCCATTATTGGAGAATTATAATATTTAAGCTGCTGCTTTTAAGATTATTAGTATTAAATCGATAAGCGTATAGTTGAGAGAAATTGTACGTTTTGCCCCTGACTTGGTCCTTCTTGCTCTTACTTGGTGCATGGTGGGACTCCATTGTTTCAATTTCTCATTTGAGATTTCTTTTTTGGGTTGCAGGTTGGCGTTGTCTCAGATTATGACTTGTTAGCAATCGATTCAATATCAGGTAATATAGACATTTTTAATTAGAAAGTCGAAATAGTATTTCATCTCATAGATCGGAGAACGATGGTGCATACTTTTTAGTGTAAATTTTGGACGAAACTTTATGCCCTTATAGATCATTGTTGTTAATTATACTGTTAAATTATTCTAGAGAAGTCTGTGACACAGTCTCTTTGATGGTAGATGGCCACTGGACACTATCATCAGGCAGATGTCAGTCTCACCCTTTATATTATTCTGGAACTAATCAGAGAGATTCAGATGTTGTTCTTGTCTGCTTTTTTCTTTTTTCTTTTTTCCGGTGTATATTGCAAATTTGGCGCTAATGTTTCTTTCCTTCGTTTCTGTTTTTTCTTTTCTTCTGCTTTAGGTGGCAGTCAATGTGAAACAAACATGTTTCCTGATGTGGACAGTTCTTGGAAAGTATGTCTTCTTGATTGTTGTTTATGTTTTTATTGTACTGCTTTGTGAAATTTTGCTCTGTTCCATAGCATTGCTGTCAATCCTGAAATATTTCATTATCAGACTATTTTACTTAATGTCAGACGAAACACTAAGTCACTGAATAAAAGTTATTTGTTTTATGGCAACGTCGTTGATAAGTTTGATGCGAGATCTATTATGTTCACATTAGGGTAGTTGGGTTTATGGTAATGATGATATTTACAACGTTGCACTTGGACAGGGTTTTTTCTTTTTTTTGGACTGAGCGCTTGGACAGTTTAACTATGCGCCACTCTGCACCTATGCACAAATTCTTTTTATGAGAACATACATGAACATCCGAATTTATGAACAGTGAAAGCCAAACCCTGTTGACATTTTCTTTCCATTGTATATCAGCCAGTATCTGTTATATATGTTGCCTTCAGGGTGTAGCACTTTTTTTTTTTTCCTGAAATGCTTGATGGACTACTACTAATTATAAATGAAGGAAATTAAACTTCATCTCTTTTGCTTTCATAATTCGCAATATAGTATTTTTTCTCCTCAATTATTCCCTCTCTCCTGTCTTTGTTTTCTGCGAAGAGGAATTGTACATGTTTATGTATTTTCCGGAAGAGCCATTAATAACATGCTTGAGGTAACAAACTCGTTTTCAGTCTTGCATCATTTTAAACTCACTGGATAATAGGGTAAGAGGGCAGCACATATCTGTGTAAGCAGTATTGTTTATATAAACCGATTTTCTTGTACAACTAGATTGCATCTATAACTAGAATTATATATGGAACAGATGAGAAATTGTACTTGTGTGCCTTATCAGTTGGCAGTCACCAGTATTAGCATTCTGCAGTTTCTAATTACTGTTTGTATGGCAGACATTCAATGAGATACAAAAGCTTCTTAGTAAGACAAATGGCAAAGTTGTGGGGGACTTAATGACGCCAACCCCACTTGTTGTTCATAAATCCACTAATCTGGAAGATGCTGCCAGGTAAGGATTTCGCATACCAGGCCCATGCCATTGACTTCTGTCTTTGATCTCTGTATTTCTAACTCATCATTTTCTTCTTATTTATAAGATCATTGTTGTCAACTTAGTGCCACTTTTGATTTCACAAGTTTCCGAGGAATCTATCAGCACGAGTTCCTTGATATCTGACCTCATCACTTCTCGTGTTAGGTTGTTGCTTGAAACAAAATATCGCCGATTACCTGTAGTAGATGAAGATGGCAAACTGGTAAGTAGATTGTGCATCTCCTGTTAAAAGCTTCGTTCTTTTGAGTCCTGCTGTTTTCTCTCATTGATCTTTGTTTTATTGTTATTCAGGTTGGACTTATTACAAGGGGGAACATCGTAAGAGCAGCTTTACAATCAAAACGTGCTAGTGAGAGTGATGAGAAGCCCATGTAGTGGTTTCAGGAGTGTCGTTTGAGCAAATCTGTGGATAAGGCTGAGAGTCCATTGGTGGAGCTGAAGGCAACTTTTGATGTTCTTTACTGACCTTTCAATGGGCTACTTCTACGATTTAGCGGAAGGTGGGGATTGATCGATCTGCTTCCTTGATACACAATGTTGACAAGTTACACGGGCTTTTTACGATATTTTGGGTAGGATTGCTTAGCGTTTTGTAGTCATTAATCCAGTTCCTCTTTGATGCTATATAATAGATTCCAGCATTCAGAACCGTTGTATACCAGTTACTTATAGAGATCAATATTCAATGCTTGTGTTATGGGATGATTAGGAAGGCATGTTAATCAATATCAGCATATTTGACCAATATAGGTATTGTAAACGTTGGCCGGAAAATATCGCACGTTCTTCCTTTTTTTTTTTTGACCTTTTAGTAGATACTCTTCTGGTATTTAATATAAAACCTAATTATTGAGTTGATTTTAGTTCTAAATATAAGATTTATTTTTCATATTTATTAATTTTTTCTAAATTATTCTTATAAATACTTTCTCAATCATAATCAAGTAGAAAAAGGAAGAAATAAGAGATGTTAAGAAAGATGATTATGATGTTTTAAAAAAAATATATCATATTTTTTATAATTAATTAATTTATCTAATTTTTTTAATTTAATAAAATTAATTAAGTAAGTTTTATATTAAGTAACCAAAGAGTATTAAAATGTCCCTATTAATCCCCAGAGTCAGAATCTCCTATTTATCTCTCGCTGATAGTTACTCATAAGAAGCTTTTGTATGTTACTCATGACGTTTCATCCCTACCCTTTTCCTCACTTTCACTATCTATCTTCGCTATATTGTAAGCTTTATTTATGTAGTAAATCACCTCTCAATTCATCACTTCAACTTCCCCTTTTTCCTTTCTTTTCTCAGAAGCTATGGTTTCTGCAACCTCTCCTGTACAGATGATCTTCTTCCCTTTTGTGGGAGGAGGCCATCAGATCCCCATGATCGACACCGCAATAGCTTTCGCATCTCATGGCGGAGCCAACTCCATCATCATCACCACCCTCTCTAACTCCCTTCAGTTCCACAAATCCATCTTTCGACACCAACAATCCGGCCTTCCCATCAGTATTCTTACTCTGCCTCCCAACGTTGAAGTCTCCGACGTCGACATGTCCGCTGGCCCCGCCACAGACACCTCTGTCCTCCAACAACCTCTCCGACAACTCCTCGAGGATCTCCGTCCTGATGCTATCGTCGTCGACATGTTCCATCGCTGGTCTGCCGATGTCATCGACGAGCTCCGAATCCCAAGGATCGTCTTCCACGGCAGTGGGTGTTTCTCTCGCTGTGTCTTCCACAACGTTACAAACTATGGTCCGCATGAGAAACTGGGTTCCGATTTAGAGCCCTTTGTAGTTCCGGGTCTCCCCGACCCGATTGAACTGACGAGGTCGCAGCTTCCGCCATTTATCAAAGACCCATCTCAAGGATTCGGTCGGAGGAAGAAAGCAGAGGAGAATAGTTTCGGGACCGTGACAAACAGCTTCTACGATTTGGAACCCACTTATGCTGATTACCTTAGAAATGTTATAAAGACGAGAGTATGGCTCGTAGGACCTGTATCTCTGTGTAACAAAAACACAGAGGATAAAACAGAGAGAGGAAAGATTCCTACAATTGACGAACAATCCTGTTTGAATTGGCTGAATTCAAAAGAACCCAAGTCAGTTCTGTACATCAGCTTCGGGAGTTTAGCTCGATTGCCCCGAGAACAGCTCAAGGAAATTGCATATGCACTTGAATCTTGCGATCAACCATTCATTTGGGTTATAGGGAAAATCTTCAAATCCTCCGAAACAGAGGAAGAGGGTGAATACAATTGGCTCCCAGATGGGTTCGAACAGAGAATGAAAGAAACGAACAGAGGTTTGATCATAAGGGGTTGGGCTCCACAGCTTTTGATACTAGAACATAAATCAGTGGGGGGATTTATGACACATTGTGGGTGGAATTCGACGTTGGAAGGGTTGAGTTCGGGGGTTCCCATGATAACGTGGCCGTTATCGGCGGAGCAATTTACGAACGAGAAGCTGGTCACTAGGGTTTTGAAGGTTGGAGCGGAGGTGGGAAGTCGAGAGTGGGTTTCATGGCAGGATGAACGGAGAGAGCTAGTGAGGAGAGATAAAATGGAGAAGGCGGTGAAGAAAGTGATGACTAAGAGTGAAGAAGCAGAGGAGATGAGAGAGAGAATCAGAGACATTGCAGCCAAAGCAAGAAGAGCTGTCGATGAAGGAGGCACTTCTTACGCGGATATTGATGCATTGATCCATGAACTTACAAGTCGCCGCCAAACTTGTTTTAAAGCAAATTAGTATAGTTGTTATTAACCTTTTTTTCCTTTCTGGGGAATTATGCTTGTAAAGATCCATCTTCCAGCAGTCCTTGGAAGTTGGAACACACAACTACATAACAATTTCGATGCCTAATTCCCAATTTAGTCACTAAAATGTAGCATTCGGATAAATACTTTTGTTTCAAGCAAATTCGATTGTGGGTTTTTTGGTTTAAATTTTATGCTTACGATCTCAATTTGCCATTGAAAACTGTACGAACTTATGGTTCCCAGTTCCCACTTGTATAATCCATCAAATTTGGGTACTTCAGTCAAGTATTAAAATGGAACTTTAAATGAGCGTGAAGTTTAAAAACTTAGGAGAAATGAGACCTGATGCAAACAAGAAATCATAGACATGAAAAGAATTTGAAAACTTAAGTATTGGATATAATTAAGGGTTAAGGTACACCCAGCGTCCCGAACTATTTTTCCAGGTACACTCAGTGTCCTAAAGTAATTTTCGGTGCATCCAGTGTCCCAAACTAATTAAAACGGTGCATCCATATCTTGAGCTAACAGAAAAGTTAAGTTTGACCGTTAGTTGACCAAAAAATCTGACGTGGCGGACACGTAGGCGTCTGATGTGTATTATTTTGACGAGTTAAGGTGCGCCTAGCACCCTGAACTATTTTTCCAGGTACGCCCAGTGTCCTAAAGTAATTTTTGGTGTATCAAGTGTCCCAAACTAATTAAAACGGTGCGTCCACATCCCAGGCTAACAGAAAAGTCTTGTTTGACAGTTACCTTGCTGATTCAGCGCAAGCGTCTGATGTGTATTATTTTGACTAAAGCTCCCGAGACAAGCCCGGTGGTGGCGGGTGTTTTCTTAGAAGGCGACGACGATGTCGATGGAGTGACCAAGGAGAAGTTTATTGTGTTCTACAAGGAGGGAAGCAAATGCGAGTCGGATGAGGAGTCGACAGAGATGAAGATGGAAATGTGCTGTGATAGCGGTTGTGGTTTCAAATTGGAGTGGTAGAAGAAATGGGATAAAATGTTAAAGACGAGGATGGGGTTGAATGGGTGGTACATGTACTAGGATTTAAGAGGGTGGATAGATGGTCTTTCTTTTTTTTAAGTTTAAAAATTGGCAGAAGATAAATGTTAGAAGAGGAGGAAATAAATTGAATTTTCAGTCAAAATAATACACATCAGACACCTGCGTGTCCGTCATGTAGGATTTTTCGGTCAACCTTCAGCTGAATCCAGTGTAAAAAAACTGAACCGGACCGGCCGGTTCAATCGGTAAACCGATGAACCGATCAATGGTCTGCTCTGGTTCATAAGCTAAACCGGGGATCGGTTCAAACCGGATTGAACCAGTCAAACCGGTGTGAACCGGTTTAAATAAATATATTGACATTTGTCCTATTTTTTCTCATTTAACTCCTAATATCTCAATTATTATAGATTTAAATGAATTTTGATGATGACTTTGGTATCAATAACTATTAATTTTAGTTATTGAAAAATTATAAAGATCAAAATTCTCAATATTGTTGTACTTTATTATTATTACAATCAAATTCTTATTGTATTTCTTTATATTTTGTTATTAGTAATTATTAGTATTGTTATATTTTGTCATTTTTAATTAAATTATATTATTTTAATATGACCGGTTTGATCCCGAGTTGACCCCGATCTGACCCATTAACCCTTGAACCACTACCTCAACCGGTTTAGTATCCGGTCTGGTTTTTTGTTCCTTGGCTAAATCAACAAGGTAACAATCAAACGAGACTTTTCTGTTAGCCTGGTAGCCTGGGATGTGGACGTACCGTTTTAATTAGTTTGGGACACGGGATGCACCAAAAATTAGTTTATGACACTGAGCGCACCTGGAAAAATAGTTCAGGGTGCTATGCGCACCTTAACTCGTCAAAATAATACACATCAGACACCTACTATCCGCCATGTCAGATTTTTCGGTCAACTAACGGTCAAACTTAACTTTTTTGTTAGCCCGGGATATGGATGCACCGTTTTAATTAGTTTGGGACATTGGATGCACCGTTTTAATTAGTTTGAGATACTGGACGCACCAAAAATTACTTTAGAACACTGGATGCACTTGGGAAAATAGTTTGGGGGTGCTGGGCGTACTTTAACCCTATAATTAATAAGCTGAAGAGGAAAAAAAAACCGGGGGGGGGGACTAGGCTCATTCATTAGAACTAAACATGAAGTATTACAAAAATTTTAAAAAAAACTTAACATGAAGTGAAAAGCAGAATCTAATCAGTGCTGTTGATGAGTCTTGTAGTTCTTTTATGGAGGTGCTGATGAGGTAGGGTGTGTTTGGGATAGCAATGACAGAAGTAACTTTTTTTAAATCTGACTTTTATAGAAATCAGATTGAGTAAAAGTCATATAGTATAATGTGATTTATGTTTGGATTGAGTTTTCTAAAAAAGTCAATTTGAGAAGCTAAAACTTATTTAGATGATAAATGTAAAAGTAAGTTTAGATATAAAATGACTGAAAATGACATAAATTTTATTGAATGATACATATTTAATTAAAATTAAAATTATAAAAATAAAAATAGTTATTTTTAAGAATAATTAAAAGGGAAAATTGCAAATAAAGACCCCCCAATATATAAAATGGCAATCAGGGACCCCCAATTTGAGAAATTGCTGCAGAGGACCCGGTCCCAATTTGCAATTATGAAATGTGAGGAAAATGGCTGAAATGCCCTCACTCATCATGACTGTTAATGAAGGCAGAGACCAGGATTTTAATGGGTGGCGGGAGAGCTGGCGGAGTAGGATGAGCCGAACGAATATGTGCGATATTGGGATCTTCGAACATTGGCAATAATGCGACTAACTTACTGAGTAAACCATTCTTGTATTGTTCCCTGTAAGAGTTACACATCGTCACATTCTCCATCTTCATCTCTGCTGTGTGGGTGAGTAGGCTGGAGGAAGGGAGGGAATGGGAGGTGTAGTTGAAGATGAAAGATATGACAATGTAGGAGGTTGTGGTTAGTTGGAGGTGGGATATTTTTGTTTTCGTAGTCTGAACGGTCATCTGTCATTTGTAGTGCACGGTGCTGGTTGCGATGGGGAAGGGGTCAGAGTGTAGTGGTTTGGCAGAGTGTAGGTTGGATAATGGCCGTTAGTTTGACCGTGAACGTTGAGGTGTTGCCGCGGAATGAGGGAATGACGATACCATGATTTTCGGTGTTGAAGTCGTCAAGCCCTAAAGTGAAGTTGTGAAGCCCTAAAGTGAAGTTGTGAAGGCCTAAAGTGATGTTGGGAAGACAGGAGGTCACGGGTTTTTAATTTGGTATGTAAATGGTTGAGTCGATGGAATAAATGAGTAAATATTTATTAGTGAAGCTAACGTACTGACTAAACGTAAATTTTTGCTGCAGATTAGTATGAAAAATGGATTTCAATAACCGAAGAAGCTGTGGGAAGGAGTTGTTCTGTTACGTGCACATTGGTGGACATTTTGAAGCAAATGGTGAAGGGATAGTTAAATATATTGGAGGGAGTGTAAGGGTAACCAGTATAAAAGAATGGATAACAGTAGACGAGTTGTGTGGAATAATTTCACAGTGGATAGGCAATGATGGTGGTGGATATGAGATTAAGTATAAAGTTAAATTTGATGAGAGTACATTGATTGATCTTTGTGATGATGGTGATATCAGCAACTTGTTTAGATATAATGACAGCAGTGGTCATGTGTATGTAGGAGGGAAAGGGAATGATAGGGAACGTAGAGCAAGGAATGATCCAGACGTGTAAGTGGTTATGTTTTCCAATTGAATCTTGTTATTTACTAATATATTGTTGGTAATTCGTATAGAAATATTGTAATGAAGCTAATGGTGCTGCAGTCCTAAATTGTAATTAGTAAATGCAAGCATGTTATTGAACATAGTGGACATGTCATTTCCATTTGTAAACTTGTGTTTTAGAAATGCAGACTTGTTATTAGACATAAGCAGAGATTTCCATATGTAGACTTGTAATTCAACGTATTGAAGTTATAATTATCATATACGGACTTGTTATTTAGATCTGTAGATGTTATTTTACTAACCAGTAGTTTCTATATGGAAACTTGTTATATGAGTAACTCAAGTTGTAATTACCTCTTACGGACTTGTTAATTGAGCAAGGAATTGTTTGTAGATGTAGACTTGTTATTTTAGTTAGTAAAGTTGTAATAACCATATGCGGACTTGTTATTTAGATATGTAGACATGTTATTTTATTCAAACCTGTCGTTTGAATATAGCTGTCCTAACTTGGTATTATGGTGGCAGGAGTGAGAATTTATTTGGACTTTCACAATATATGAATACATTTGAAACGACCATTGGTGATGAACATGAGCCAGTGAATGTTGAGAATGGAGTTGAATGCCTAACTTTTGAAGGAGGCGGATCAAGTCAGAGAAGCAAGTGTAGTGGTTCAGAGAGTCAGGGAAGACTGACGGGCGAGATGAATTGTACGAAATGGGCAGGAGTGTTTGTAGGAGTGGGCCAATATGTTCCACATGCTGTTGCTTTTAGGGAAGCTGTGTACAGGTTCAGTATTGCAGAGAAGTTTGCAGCAAGATATATCAGGAATAGTAAGGAGAAGATGAATGTGAGGTGTAAAGTAGAAGGGTGTCCTTGGAAGATATGTGCAAATGCTGTTGGAAAGAACAGTCATCTATTACGTGTGACTACATTTTGCAATAAGCACATTCATTCAGCCCAAGACAATTTGATTGTGACTTATGGTGGGAGTGCTGCGTTGACATCATCAGTAATAGTTGAAGAGATAAGGGACCATGCTGAAAAACGGCCCACTGAGATAAGGAAGATGTTGGAGAGGGAGTATGGTGTGAGGCTTACATATTGTCAGGCATATAGAGCAAAGGAAAAGGCAATGGAAGAAATACATGGGAAACCGGAACAGTCCTATATGTTAATACCATGGTTATGTGAAAGGTTGAAGGAAACTGATGACAAAACGGTTGCTGAATGGGCCTCCATTGGTAATAGATTTGAGCGTGTGTTCATTGCATACGGTGCATGTGTTGAGGGTTTTTTGAACGGTGCAAGGCCTATATTA